CCTAGGGGGGGGATTGTATAGGGATTTTAATAGGGATTTTATAACTTTTCTAAAAATAACAGGCTTATTTAATATATATTTTAATTGTTTTTAGATATTTATTGTATAGTTCCGTTTTTATTGCCTGTAAGCCGCCCTGAGTCCTTCGGGAGAAGGGCGGGATATAAATTAAAGTAATAATAATAATAATAATAATAAGCACAGTCCTCAGATTGCCCAAGACTGGATTTTGCATCAGCTGCAGCTTCTGGATACTCTTCAAGAGTAGCCCCAGGTAGAACATATTGCAATAGCCCATGCAAGAGATGACCAGGCATGAGTGAACAAAGGAGGAGAGAGAAGCAGACAAAGCACAGAGCAGAGGCCACTGGCTAGACCTCTTGCTCCTTATCAACACTGATTGGAGCAATGGTGAACCAGCACAAAATAGCAATAGCTATAGCACTTAGACTTATATACTGTACTGCTTCACACTGCTTTACAGCCCTCTCTAAGTGATTTACAGAGTCAGCATATTGGCCCCAGCTATCTGGGTTCTCATTTTACCGACCTCAGAAGGATGGAAGGCTGAGTAAACCTTGAGCCTAGTGACATTCAAATTGCCCAACTGCCAGCAGTCAGCAGAAATAGCCTGGAGTACTGCATTCTAACCACTGTGCCAACAGAGCTCATAAAACTGGGCCCTCTACCCCCCCCCAATCCTGATGCCATGATCAATGGAATCAAAAGCTGCCAAGAGGTCAAGAAAAGTGAGGATGGATGCACTACCTCCATCCCGCATCCACAAGAGATCCCTCTAAAGAACAATGAATGCTATTTCTGTCTCATATCCGGGCCTGAAACCCAACTAGAAGGAGTTCAGATAATCCATTTCATCCAGGATCCTCTGGAGCTGCAGTGCCACCTTCTCAACTATGTTCCCTAAAAAGGGGAGGTAGAACACTGGACAAAACCTAACCAGCATGGTGGGGCTAACTGACAGCGTCTTGAGAAGAGGACCCACAAATTCCTTTTAAAGGGTGCTGGGAACACCTATCCCTCAAGGACGAATTAATGCAGCCACATGTCACCTCACAGGTGGCCTTGACCGGTCAGGAGTGCATGAATCTTGTTCACAGATGATCGTGTTTACTGTACCAAGAACTCTGTCCATATCCTTGGGTCCAACAGAATCAAACTGTTTCCAGATAACAGGTAAGGCAATCCCCTAGACATCTCTATAGGCCTACATCACTCTTGGCCTTCAACTGGGAACAAATTCAGGCAAATTAATCCACCAGATGCAGAGAGAATTCCTCTGGGTGATCCTAAAGGTAAACCTCCGGACACCACTTGCCCATTGAATACTTGAGCTCTAGTGCAGGGGTCCCCACCCTTTTGGGCACCAGGGACTGGTTCCGTGGAGAGAGGTTTTTCCGTGGACTGGAAGGGGTATGATTTTGTGTGCTGCTGCATACCGCAGATGGGGCTTTGCTTGTTTGTGTGGACCGGTTTCTAACATGCCGCAGACCTGTGCCAGTCTAGTGTATTTAGACCCTAATACTGTCCATCCAACCAAAGGTGCTCTATATGTAGATTCCAAAGTTGCCCAAATTGGAAAATCAACACAAATTGTTGGCTTTTTATGCATAGTTTTTCTATATATTTGCATATCTTTTTTGCTGTTTCTATTTTTTTAAAGAGATAAATAAAATCTAGACAATTGTCATTTTCATTAAAAATATTATTTTTATCCCTGCAACTATAGAAATATTTTAGTAATATTTACCTTTACTTTTATTTTCTCCATTAACTCATTGGGTTTTAACCATACAAGTAAAGTATCATCTTACTTTTATGGTTGACATACTGACATCTTTCAGAGAAAAAAAATTGTAACTATTCCTTTTGAACTTCACATATTTGTCATATGGTACTATTGAGATGAACATTGGGATTTTCTGCTAAATGCTTGATTTTTCCCAATAACCTCTAATTAAAAATAAGCTATTTTGATTGATATCTTGCTATTATTCTTTACAAATAAACATTTAAAAAGTTGGGTAGCTGATTTACCTTTATGTTAGAGAAAGAACAATAAACTGAATGCTAAATGAGTAGCTAAAATGTTGTGCCTATTGGGAAATACAACATTTAAACTAGCTAAACTAGAATTCTTTTCCAGGATTGCCCCACTTACAGTACATAGTACAGCTTCCTAATGAACTTATGGGCACCATAATTTCCCCCAGCGCTTTTAAGTAGCAAGAGAAACCATTTGCTATACCATAATCAAAAGTCCACTATTTCTGAAATACAATATGTGGAGAGTAGATTTACCTATTACCATTTAAGGATTACAGTGGTGTTCTTACTTTACCTTTTGATTCCTGAGGTTTTAATGCCCAACTAATTTTTTTTTGTTTGTTTAAAAACTATCCTGATTTTGACAAGAACATGCACTGAAGTACAATGAAAGATTAGTAAAGTCATAATCCACATATCAAGGAGAAATCTTTTGAAATGGAAGAAAAACAGCATTCCGCCCACCTACAAAAGGAGAATTTATACTTGTTTTTTCTTAAATAATCTACATATTTCTGCAGAAAAAAGATTTATGCCTTATTAAGATTTAAAAACCTACAACTGCAGTTCCTTACATCCACTTTGCAAATAATGAAACTCACCTGTTCAAGTATAATTATAAAACGAGAGGCTGGCGGTAGATCATAAACCAATACAATGTAAATTGGTCCAAATCCAAGACAGACTGTTTGGAAAATCACAAACAGTGCCCCAAATAAAGTGGAATAGATGATCTTGTGGGAGGAGCTATGGAACCCCTGGGCCCACCGGACAAAGAGGACGTAGGGCACAAGTAACGTGGAGAAGAACATGCAAAGCCAAGTTGGAGCGACGATAGAAATTTTGCCAAAAGAGTAAACGAGGAAATCAAATTCTAGCACAAGCCTTCAAAAAAATCAAAGAAAACAAAAAGGTTAATGGAACTTCATTCACTAGGTAAAAATACAGTATTTGGGGCGTGATTTGGGGTGCGGGAGAGGGATTAAAAGCTACTAAAATTAAGACTGATAATTTTACATCTGATTTTTTTTTAAAAAAAATACAAGACTCATAAGTAGGCAGAAATGTTAAGATACATCTAATAATATAAAACAGTCTTCATTACTTCAGTGTGGACCAGATATGTTGGCCTACAATTTCTATTAGACCTAGCCAACACATCTAGCAGATGCCACACTGAGAAAAGCTACTATAAAATATCAAACATAGTATCATCCAGATGTACCCAAGGAACTCAAGGACAGGTTACAGAACCTTGGCAAGGACACATCCTTGGCAAAGTGCCGTTGTTGTGACAATCTCTGTGAAATATAATCATGGGCTTCTCTGCAGCTTTCCTCCTCTACAAAAAAGATTTGGATGGGTAATCATTCCTCCCTTAATAAAGAAGAGGTGCCAGTAGTCCAGTGGTCAAATACCAAAATGCAGCACCAAGCCTGCCTTCAGCTAACCTTTTCAAGATGTCCTTACCTTCCCTCATCAATGTAGTCCACCACAAGTGTGCTGAGGATGAACAAAACGAGGAGAGCAATAAACATGTGGTAGATGGTCCGGATATGATTCACTTCAAATAACTCACTATGAAAAGAAGTTCAATGCGACAAAATAAAATTAGGAAATTTCTAAAAAAGGGGCCAAACATTAGTCATTATAATCTTTACAAATATTATTGCAAGTCCAAGTTTTCTAGTTGGTTCCCTTTCCTCATAATATTCATGATTGTTAGCCACTCAGAACCTTTGTGAATAAGTGCCATACAAACAATGAATGAATGAATGGAGTGCTACTCACTCCACTCCCTACCAGACTTTGCTCACATTTTAAAGGAATTTGAGCAAACTTTCAAAGTACATTGTGCTCCGTAGACTAAATGAAGTCAGGCTTCACTAACCTACTAACCTCTAGATATATCTTTCTCAGTGCTGGCTCAGAATCATGGGAGTAATCTATCCTGTCCATAAGTCTTCAGCCTGTGCAAGATTAGATGGGCCATACTATCACTTTTAACATAGGTTAGAATTTGCCATCCTAATGGGATGGACTATAAAGTTTATTCCTAGTTTCTCATTCTTTTTCCTCTTTGATAAATAAGAAATCTAGAAATCAGGAAAGTACGTCAGACAATGAATTTTGAATGGATGCATTAGAGAAGCATGAAACCTCTAATACCGTTTCATATTTAACATGGTTCATAATTGTTGTCAGAAACTGATACAAACTGAACTTATAAAAAAAGTTAAACCTATTGTAATTTCCTCCAAATGACACAAAGACAGCAAAAAATACCTAAACATTTTTTTATTGCTGAAGAGCAATTGTGAAATATATTATAAATTTCATATCCCATTGTCTTTGCTTGTCAGAAGGTCACAAAAGGGGATCACATGACCCCGGGACACTGCAACTGTCAAAAATACATGTCAGTTGCTAAGCATCCGAATTTTGATCACATGAGCACAGCCATGCTGCTACAGTCATAACTGTGAAAAACAGTCATAAGTCATGTTTTTCAGGGCCATTATAACTTTGAATGGTCACTAAACAAATGGTTGTAAGCCAAAACTACCTGAACATATAACAGGAAATGGCATTAATCAATACTTAATTTTCACCTTAAAGGATCAGATAGTTAGTAGAACTTATGCCTAAGTCTCTGAACAACTGCTACCTATCAAGTTTGGAAAAAATTCAGAGAAGAGGAACTAAGACGATCAAAGGCCTGGAGACTAAAACATACGAAGAACGACTGCAGGACTTGGGTTTGGTTAATCTAAAGAAAAGAAGAAATAGGGGAAACATGATAGCAGTGTTCCAGTATTTGAGGGGCTGCCACAAAGAAGAGGTGGTCAAACTATTCTCCAAAGCACCAGAGGGCAGGACAAGAAACAATGGTTGGAAACTGATCAAAGAGAGAAGCAACCTGGAATTAAGGAGAAACTTCCTGACAGTGAGGATAATTAACCGCCTTCTGCCGCAGATTACCTCCCATCGACCGGTACGCTCCCACAGAGCGGGCCTCCTCAGGGTGCCGTCGGCCAAACAGTGTCGGCTGGCGACCCCCAGGGGGAGGGCCTTCTCTGTGGGAGCCCCCACCCTGTGGAATGAACTTCCCCCAGAGATCCGGATTATTCCGGATCTCCCCTCCTTCCGCCGTGCCCTNTAATAATAATAATAATAATAATAATAATAATAATAATAATAATAATAATAATAATAATAATAATAATAATAACCAATGGAACAGCTTGCCTTCAGACATCGTGGGTGCTCCATCACTGGAGATTTTTTAAGAAGAGGCTAGACAGTCACTTGTCTGAGATGATATAGGTTCTCCTGCTAAAGCAGGGGGCTGGACTAGAAGACCTCCAAGGTCCCTTCCAGCTCTATTCTATTCAAGAGGTGACAATAATGGACTAAAAGAATCTGACCTATATAAAATACATTCTTGAGTCTAGTTAACACATTTCGTCCCTAATTGTGAATTCTTTATTTAGGCGGTGTACATTTTATCAGAGCATCTAGCCATCTACTAGGAGTCATTTTGAACGATACATACGTCTAGACAGGAGATCAGCTTTAAGGAGAAAAGGGAAAAGTGGTGAATATAAGCTGTGGTCACCTCTGATAGGAACTCTAGATACACCATGGCTAACCAAATGCCCGGTTTCAGCCAATATGGATAATGATAAAAATGATGTAAAGGATGATAAAAATGAGACAAATGACCTTACATCCCCCGATACTATGGATCACAGAAACTGGAGTGCTTTAATCACATTTCCAAAGGGGACTAAAGCAATAGTAACTTTAGCATTAGTACTACTGTAATCTACAAACCCATTAAAGATACTCACTCCAAGAGAGATTTTCTGGGAATGAAAACTTTTCCATGTTCTGGAGGTGCTCTTGTTCCCCTGTGAAGAAAGGAACAGGCACTATTAAAAAAAGACAAAAGTAAAGAAATCAAGTAAGAAATCAAATATACTGAATGAAGAACCAACATACTTGATTTTGAGACTGTCTTTCTCTGGAAAAGCAGCTGGGGAAGATTCCAGCAGCACAGAGTTTGCAATCAAACTATTGACAACTTCAGTAAAATGCTTGTCCACACCTTTCATGAATGCTGGCTTCAACTGCTGGTAAAATTTGAGAGAAAGAATAGAAGAAGAAAAATCACAATTACTTAAAGCAACATCTCACCCAAACAACTGCCTGCCCAAGCAGCATTCATAAAACATTCTCAATAAGGGAATGTAGCCACACTACAAACTGTAACTGTGAGACAAAACATTCAGAAGGAGCTCTTGAGAAAACTTTTCTCAATTAAAAATTATTAGCTGAGAGATCTTCTAGAATATAATTAGTATTAGTATGTAATAATAATAATAATAGTAAAGTTGGAAGGAACCTTGAAGGTCATCTAGTCCAACCCCCTGCTCTGGCAGGAAACCCTATACCATTTCGGACAAATGGCTGTCCAGTCTCTTCTTAAAAACTATTTAATTAGTTCTCTTCCATACTTCCATATTTCACAGATACATATAAAAATCTATAAATTAAGCCTGTCATTGATTTCTTTGAGGAGTCAGATGCCTATACTATTGTGACTTTTAATGCTTTAACTCTTTGAATTTAAGATCTAAAGCAATCAAAATATTTCATTTAGAATTTTCATGCATTTATAGAACTATGACACCAATTTTGTTTTGATGCTGTATTATTTTGTAACAGAAGAAGAAAAGTCAGCACCCTTAGTCTAAAACAAAAAGAAAGATGGTTAATGTTTAGCTTTGGCTTGTAACCCGCCAAAAACAAACAAATTGGGAACCTCAACTTTCAAGTTGAGTAAGTTCACAAAAGGCAGGTGTTTTTCTTTTTTTAAAAAATAGTTTTTTGTTTGATCAACGGCTGCTGTCTTAACTCGCAGCATAAAACAATAAAAACATGAGCCACTTTTTTTACCTATCTAAAAGTCAAATTGCCTTTTTTAAATAAAAAGTGGCTATTTCTAATACAGGTAGTCCTTGACTTACAACAGTTCATTTACTGACCATTCAAAGTTACAATGGCATTGAAAAAAATGACATGATTGTTTTTCACACTTAAGATATTTGCAGCATCCCTATGGCCATATGGTCAAAATTCAGACACTTGGCAACTGCTTCATATTTATAATGGTTGCAGTGTTCCAGGATCATGTGATCAACTTTTGCGACCTTCTGACAAGCAAAGTCAAAGGGGAAGCCAGATTCACCTAACAACGGGGTTACTAACTTAACAACTGCAATGATTCACTTAACAGCTGTGGCAAGAAAAGTTGTAAAATGGGGCAAAACTCACTTAACAAATGTCTCACTTACCAACATAAATTTTGGGCTCAGTTGTGGTCATAAGTCAAAGACTAACTGTACAGCACTCTCTAGTAGCAATATAATTTCCCCAGTATCCAGAATTTCTATGTAACACGGTCAATGGAAATTCTGAGAAGTATAGTTAATAGATCTTAGAGCACGAGATTGGGGAATCTGACCACAGGCTAATTTGCTTGTAAACTGATAGTCACAGCCACATATAATACCCAAAAGCTTGTTGGTAACATTTATTTACCTCTGCTTCTGTTAAAAGACGCATCTTTCTTGTTATTGCATGGTCAACATCAATTCGACCTAAAGAAAAACAAACTATGCTTTGTCATCTTCAAACTGTAACCATACTTTACTACATATCTTGAAAACACAAATATAATATCCATGCAGGAAAAAAACTATATCTAAAAGTATACTATGTTAAAATCCACCCAGGAAATTGGGGCTCCCCAAAATTATGCACTCACCTGTATAAGCATAGCGATTTTATTCTTTTGTTAACTATCAGAAAAATAACCTTTCCAAAGTCAAAATGTTCCCTGCCTCAAAGGAGTTCTTAAACATCATTTTAAAAAAATGCTATTTATATGCTTAAGAACTGAAGGTAATTGGCACAGAAAATTTTGAAGAACTACTCAGGGCATTTAATGAAAAAGGTGTGTGTGTGTGTGTGTGTGTGTGTGTGTGTGTATAAAAGTAAGATTTTAGCCTAATTTTCTCCCTGACATTCTGGTTTTGTATGTGGCAGGAAATAACTGTTTTTATTTTTAAGCATATAAACCCCACTTTCACAGGTTCAGGTAGTACTGTATGGATAAAATATGTTTATATTATGTCAATAAGAACAATGCCCAAGAGGTCATTTTCTCATGAATTTCCAATGTCTCAAAGCTATGATATGCATAAAATGGCTTTTAAAGTATAGGACCCAATTTTTAATTATTGCCCACTTAAAACATGATATTGTAAAAACTGTATAAAATGTATTTGTTCCACCCCCCAAAAGCCCACCATACTGCTGGACATAAGCATGTTATTAGAACATTGTTCAGCAAGAATGAAATTGCAATTGAAGCATTTTTTCTGGACATCCCATATAAAAAAAGTAATTAATCTGGCTATTCCATTTTTTTAGTTCTATGAAAATAGTTCCAGATCCCATTCTTCTAAAACAGCCAAGGAAATAGAATATTTTGGTTTCCAAATTAACATACCTGAGGTTTGTATCCTGAACAAGGCAGGTGAATGTATTAAATATAAGGTACCTATGTTTATCTTTTATATTTAACCTGCATAATTAAATTTGAGTACAACTGATATTACTTTTCCATACACTCTGTAAGAGTTCTAAGTCAAGTCATATTAATACTCTCAAGGCACAATAATTCCCAACAAAGTCAGCATGTAATACATAAATATTTCTAACTACTTGTTTAACAATTGCGTTTCTATGTAGGAAGGTTGTCGTTCTCCTTCAATAATTAGTTTCTAACTATTCTTGGAATTTATTCACATGACCTTGAATGTTAGAACAAGTGATAGCATATCAAATCTTGGAAATGGTTGTTCCATTTGCAACTCTTTCATATTTTCCAAGGTCTCCATATTAGCCAATCCTAAAAAGGGCATAGATGATCTAAATCTCTGCTGTGATACAATTCATGACAAATTAAGCCACATTACTGCTATTATATTCCCACCAATATAATACTACACAGTATATTCTATACATGCTTTGCAAGATATTTAGCTGCTTTAGCTTTAGGACCCTTCCCTCATATCTGCATAATATGGTATATACAGCTAAGGTGACCTGGATCCATTCATTAAATTGGCAATCTAAAATGGTCAGCACAACCTATAACTGGGGAGAGAGTTCTTAACAGATAGCAGTTACAGAGGTCTCTTACTATCTCTCCCCACCTTTGCCTCAGTGATTGTGGTTCTCTTAAGGACACGTAGCATATACACTATAATTCCACAAAAATGCAGAAATGAGCAAGCTATAGCATTGGACAGGGGAAAAAACTTTCTAAACTTGAAAGTGTTTTTATATTAGTTATGCGAGAGAGAGAGAGAGAGAGAGAGAGAGAGAGAGAGAGAGAGAGAGAGAGAGAGTCTGTATGTATATGATTGTATAGAATTAATTAAACAAATCTCCTAAGGAAGTGGAGAAGCTGCAAATGGAAATTGAGTATCCTATTGTGCAAGTATATTTTTGCTCATGTGACAATTTATTCCATTCAATTTACAATCTCATAAAATACACAACATATGCATGTATATACCTTTATTTAAGAGAATATTTAAGACTAAATGACTTCTGATAATACATAATTTAGTACAATTTCTACATGGGCTGAACTTTCAGCATCCCGTATAAATCTGTTCAAGATTAACAAAGTCTGAACAGGTCCTCCAAATTATATCCACTACAAAATAATATAATATAAAACCATGCCATTATTTATGTAATTTTTACAGATTTCAGAAACAAGACTCTTAGCAAACATTTTGACCTGCCAGCATGCAAGTTTATTTTTAAAGCAGCAGACATAATTCCAGACAAAAATTAAAGAACACAGGAAACACATTTAACAGCTTTGAGATCAGTTAGATTTCCCATTAACTAGGATAGGAAATCAGCTTCAAGCCTTATATTACTCAGCCCAATATAATCTTTGTAACTATTGATTATTAATGGGACACTAAAATGATCTAAAATGTTATTATATAGCCAAATTACAGAGGGAAATATATGCACCCATTACTTTAAGATATTGCAGTTGAATTTGAAAGGGAAAAAATACTCTGGAAACTCTGTTCACTCCACATACTCTTTCCTTCATTCTTTCTCTCTGCATAAGGGAAGGAGAGAGATGTAGGAAAAGATGTGCTATGATAATGTATCAGTGCTTATCTTGTTTGCACAGATTTATGAGAGCTTGTTTAGTATTAGTACTGATAGGAAATACTGCAAAATAACTTTGTGTTAAACTGACAGTGTTAGAAAAAGAAAAAATAAGAGACAGGGCTTGGTCTGCCTAATTGTTCAAGGTCCACCAGAAATGAATCACTAAGCCAGAAACTTTAGAACACACAGTCTTTTGCCTAAGTCATCACTTACAAGAAACATGTGACCTTCCTCTCATATGATTCACGAATCTCTGTCTACTTGTGCATTGACCTCTGGTAACAAGGCCTTTGTTTTAAAAGCCTGAAATATGCTTGCCAGTACGAGTATTCTTGAAGCAAACTTTATAAAGTTGCAAAATTCAGTCATGAAGCAAAGAGCTTAAGAAAAAAAATTATACAGAGGAACATATGGGTCTGGGTTCAAATTCAATTCAAATTCAATCTCAGCAATGAAATGGCTTCTCTCTGCCTTGGTTCCACACCTGTGAAATAGGATGGGTCAGCTTCTCATAAGAGCAAGAAAACAGAACACTGAGTGGACACTGACTGAGACAAATAAGGAACAGCATATCTTCTCTATTGAAACTGAACATACAGAATCCAGAATCCAATCCTTTCCAGTGAACTGGAATCTTGGGAGGACAACCCAGACGTGTGAGCATCTTTTCTACCAAATCAAGAAGAAATAGTGACAGAGGGAATCCTTCCCCCCCCCCTCCATAATGTAATGCCCAGGAGGCAACAGGATTGATCCCTAACATTCAGTGCTGACAGAGAAGTTTAGAAGCTGAAATGGAAGCCAAATTATTGTTTTCAATAATTTGTATTAAATGGATATGAGCCTCTTTCAAAAACCTTCTACAAAGCTATATAAACTAAAATTATTCACAGTGACTCCAAGTCACATTTCTCTTTATTCATAGCAGGAATATGCCTTGGTATATGTATTATGAATCTAGGCTATGCTGTACAAGTGCGATCAGGTAATAACTTCTACCTTTCTATTAATGGGACGTATACAACCATTTTCCACTCATACTTAAAATGTGAGTACCGCTTGAGCTCCAATTCTACAGGAAATAGTGCTTACTCTGATCAGCAAAACCCAATTGAACAATGATGAAATTATTTTAGCTATAGATGTGAAAGGAGGGAATGCAAACTATTTGTACTCTATTCCAGGGCTTTTCAACCAGTGGTATGCGTACCACCTGTGGTACTTTGCCACGTGGCAGATGGTACGGGACTGCTAGCCAAGTGTAGCAGGGGAGGGGAATGAGCCGAAGCGAGCCAAGCTTGAGGGAGAGGCAGCTGCAGATGCAGGACTGTCTGGGCTCCTCAGAAGCCCCAGGAGCCAGCAGGGCTCCAGCTGATTGACACCAGCTGATTGGCGCTTCCGGAAGCAGCATGGAGATGAACTGAAGAAAAAAGTGGGGGAGGAGAGGAGAGGCTATAAAAGGAGGTGGTTTGGGCAGGAAAGGGGGGAAAAAAGACAATAGGGAAAGAGAAGGAGAGGTCAGCCGGCAAGGAGGAAACAGGGACAGAGAAGCAGCAGCAACTGTTGCTGGAAGAAAATGTCCCCTGGTTCGTTTTCTCCAGCCAGGAGAATGCAAACAGCGCTGATGAAATGAAAAGCTGGCAGGTCGGAAAGGAGGTGGGTTTATTTAGTTCTGGATCAGCTGGCAGCTTGACTGGGTTACCATAAGGATAGCAATGAGTCCAAAGTGTTGACTTGCGTAGGTTTAATCCCTTTAAACAAATGTAATTAATTTTACCCTCTTATCTTGAATCTATCTATGGCTTTCTTTGTAGGTAAACAGGTTTAGTTTGAAAGCTAAAGCAGTGGTTCTCAACCTTTTTAATGCCGCGACCCCAACCGGTCGTAAGTCGAGGACTAAACCGGTCGTAAGTCGAGGACTAAACCGGTCGTAAGTCAAGGACTACCCAACCGGTCGTAAGTCGTGGACTTTCCCTGCCCGGGAGCGCCGCACATGTGTGGTTCCGCCCCCTGCACCGGCCGAGGCGTAACTGGCAAGCGGCAGAGACGGAGCAGGCTGACCACCAGCTGGCCCAGCCCAAGGGAGGTAAGGCACCTGCCGGAAAAGGGGAAAAAAATGGCGGACAAAAAAAATGGCGGACAGCCTTGCTTGGCGACCCCCGTGAAATGGTCAACCGACCCCAAATGGGGTCCCGACCCACAGGTTGAGAACCACTGAGCTAAAGCTTTTCCCAATTGCGAGCCTTTCAGTCTGGGATTGCAACATTGTAACAAGTGACACCTCTGAGGCAGCTTAAAGAAAGAAAAAACCCCCGGAGTTTATGTGTTTATTTTGTGAGCCTTTCTTGCTTTGCACTTGATTACTGTGTCTTTAAGGGTACAGGGA